TCTCTTCTAAGAGTTTCCCAGTTTTGTGGTTTTACATTTAGGTCTATGATCCATTTTGAGTTAATGTGTGTGTGTGTGTGTGCGCGCATGCATGTGTGTGTGCGTGTAGGGCATAAGGTGTATGTCTAGATTCTTTTTTTTTACATATGAATGTCTAGTTGTTCCAGCACCATTTGCTGAAAAAATTGTCTTTGTTCCATTGTATTACTTTTGCTCCTTAGTTTTGTGGTTTTACATTTAGGTCTATGACCCATTTTGAGTTAATGTGTGTGTGTGTGTGTGCGCGCATGCATGTGTGTGTGCGTGTAGGGCATAAGGTGTATGTCTAGATTCTTTTTTTTTACATATGAATGTCTAGTTGTTCCAGCACCATTTGCTGAAAAAATTGTCTTTGTTCCATTGTATTACTTTTGCTCCTTTATCAAAGGTCAGTTGACTGCATGTATGTGAGTCTATTTCTGGATGTATGTGAGTCTGTTTCATTGATCTACATGTCTGTTCTCTAACCACTACTATACTATCTTGATTATCTAGTTTTATAGTAAATCTTCACATCAAGTAGTGTCATTTCTCTGACTTCGTTCTTCTCCAATATTGAATTGGCTATTCTGAGTCTTTTGCCTTGCCATATAAACTTTAAAATTATTTTGTCAATATTCATAAAATAACTTTACTGGGATTTTGATTGGGACTGCATTGTATAGATCGAGTTGGGAAGAACTGACATCTTGATAATGTTGTCTTCCAATCCATGAACATGAAATATCTCCATTTATTTGGTTCTTTGATTTCATTCATCAGAATTTTGTAGTTTTCTTCATATAAATTTATACATATTTTGTTAAATTTATACCTAAGTATTTCAATTTGGGGGGTGTTAATATAAATGGTTTTGGGTTTTTAATTTCAAATTGCACTTATTTATTGCTGGTATATAGAAATGTAATTGCTTTTTGTGTATTAACCTTATATCCTGCAATTTCACTATAATCACGCATTAGTTCCGGGAATATTTTTCTTGATCCTTTCAGATTTTCTACACAGACAGTCATATCATCTTTTATTATTCATTTGCCAATATTCATTTTCTTGATGTAGATCTGAATTTCTGACCCATTTTCTTGCT